GAAAGAGTGTACGTATAAAATGGTATGTTATACATTGTATTGTCGAGAAGTAAACTAGAAATAGGAAGATACTATATGAAATATATGGTAATAAAAGGGAAAATTTTTGGGGATATGAATTTATGCATCTTTCTTCTTCTTCTTCTTCTTCTTCTTTCCACGAGATAGAGAAGAGGACCGAAAAAAAAAATAAAAAAAGGCTAAAGTCTGTGAGATCGAAGGATAAAACTATAGTTAATTAATTAATAAAATGAGGTGGAAAAAAAAGGAACCAAACTAAAAACCCCCAAAGTCTCTAATGGAAAAGGAAGGGTTTTTGTCGGGCATATTGCCAGCGTGGCGTAGACCAAGTGTAAGTGACACGTCACCGGCCGGGTTGGTCCCGAACCTCATGACACCACCACTAGGGTTACCAAAATCATCGCCGGCGTTCGCGTTTGCGGTCCCGAAACCTCCGGCAGCGACTGCGACGGGGAACGCGGCGGCGGAGGAGGAGGAAGGAGGGAGGAGCAGTGAAGGGTCGCTTTCGAGGGCATTGATTTCGGATCTTTGGTGGTGGCCTGTTGCTGCTGCTGCAGCTGTTACAGTTGTTGTGGCTGTGGTTGAAGGCGTTGGAGTTTGTGCGTTTGTCTGAACGACAGTGCTGTTGCTTTCATTGTTGTTGTTGGGTTTCGTGTTGTTGTTTGTTTGTTGCTTTCTTCTTTGTTGTTGCGATGTTTCTTCTTCTTCCTCCTCCTCTTCTTCTTTTGCTTCTTGCTGGTACATCTCCTCCACCATTGGCTTCCACAGACGAACCCTAGCGTTAATGAACCAGTTTGACACCTGAATATATAAAACATATACGTTCCAAATGTTGGAACCACATTGTCAGAATCGAGATTTTATATTTGATGTGTGCCTTTATATCCAAAATATTTGGATTTTGTGGGTAAATCAGTCGCGCGCGGCCTACTTTAAATGGTGATCATTGATTATATATCTGCTATCTCTCCCTCAATCCCCTCTTCCCCTATATACATGCATATACATATATATACATGATATATACATATATATATACGAGAAGACGTATATATGCCCTAGTGGTGATAATAATGAATAGGGAACGAATCCCAAGAAAAGTAATTTTCGTGGAGCAGACACATGCTGTTCCCCTGCCATATAAATATTTACTTTTTTTTATGGAATGCCATTTATATAAATATTATCAAGCAAAAAAGATGGGGAAAAAAAACCATGCAAAGATCCACTTGAATGAAACTACTCATCAAGTGTTTTCTTTCTCTCTTGGATATTAGCTTAAGATACGATTAGAAAATACCTACAGATCAATGTACGTACATTAATTCTATATATTGATACGTGATAGAACCGTCATATCACTGAATTACGATGAATATTATCATTTCACGTGTTCTTTTTTATTTGAAATTGGTTTCATATATGGGTGATTTACATATATATATATATATATATATATATATATATATATATAAAGAGAGATGAATGAATTCTGAAGGGCTCGTATGTGTGTATAGGCTGGC